CTTTTTGGGGATGCCCAGGAGGTCCTCAAGCTCAGAGCAGGTCAGACCAGGAGCAGGCAGCATCCAGAAGGGATTGCTACCAACTCGTTCACCACCAGGCAAACAGCAGGCTGCGAGTCTCAAGGCCCCATTCTTTGGGGACAGGTGTACAACACCATCTGAAATGCAGAAAACACCATACAAAATGCAGAGCCACGTCCAAGCTACAGATGGCATCATCACTGGGGATTCGCTCAGCTTCCCTGACCGTCGGCCCGCGATGCATCAGCAGCGAGAGATGCACTCGCACGAACAAGCCAACAACTCCGCAGGCGCCGCTCCAGGGTGCACTCCCTGCAAAAATGACTTGGAGACAAGAGTCGGTGAGGAGTAAGAGACAACTCCTTCCTGGCAAAGGAAGCCACACGCTAGTGCAGAGTGMTAAAGGAATGCAGCGGCACAGGGCGAGGGTGCTGCTTTTAGGTACCGTGTACCTCTTYTCTTGTCCCTCCCCTGCAGTTGCAAGTTAAGTGCCTCCGTGCTGCAGTTTTCCATCAGGGCCTTAAATACATTGCCTTAAGTGCATTAAATGAATGAAATAATTGAAAGAAGGTTTTTAGTTTCCTGCAAGACTTGCTTAGTCTTAGTATGGCTTTCACTCAGCTTTTTATAAAAATAGCACATTTGAGCTTGACAATAAATATTCAAATGTATCTTACAATATATCACCCACTGAAAGACTCTAGCTACAGTAGTACAGACAGATTCATTACTCCACAATAAATAAGGTATTAGTGAACACTGTCAGCAAGCAACTATTTATAAGGACATTTCAATAACTCTAAATTGAGCAGGTACTTGAGAAGCTGTTGTTATAACTTTGTAATATAAGTGAAATTAAAAAAATACTAATAAAATGAATAAAAGGGTTGTCAGAATGCTAGCTAGCTGACAGCACTGGAATATAACCAAATGGRTTTTCAAATCGAGCAGAATATTGAAGACTGACATCTATGTTTAAAAACGATTCTAACTCTTGTTGGCATTCCCAATGCCATAAGCACATGATTTTGCACTCAATTACCTGCACTCAAACATGTTGCTTATTATATAATACAGGCATGACTTCAGCTACAACATACAAGTCACTGCATGAGAAATCGCTGCATGGGGCTACTGCAGACAGCACGAGCAATTCTGTTCTTCATGCACGGGGCTTTTCAGAAGCACAGCGGGAGCAAATAAGATGGACCTTATTAAATCTGCAAAAAGGATCCAAAGAGGGAGCTTCCCTCCACACCAGGGGACAGGGCAGGTGATGCGAGACCGGCCAAAGCACCCGTGTYGCATGCCAGAAAGCTCAACAGGCTCTTCTTCAGCTGGCAGGAACCAGCTCTTATATGCAGTACTTAATCGAGCCAGYGCTCAGTGCCGCTGCTATTACTCTTGTATAAATGCAGGTGCAATTAGACAGAAAAACTGTTCAGCAGGCATTTGCACAGACATTTGAACGCCACTGAACACGGAAACACCATAATTAAAGGGGAGAAATTGCTACCTAGATAAGAAGTGACATGAAAGTGGAACAACATGTCATGCAGCTTGATACTGAGTAATATCATGCAGCTTGATGCTGAGTAAAACACGCRGCAGCTGCAATGCTGAATTGGTTAGCACAAACATTTCAGAACAAAAAAGATGGCAAACAAACATCCTGTTTCATCCAGGCCCTAATCCAAAGTCAAGAGAGTCTGGGAGAACAATGTTGCCCACAGTGCTTGGGCTATCTCCATTTTGGCAACATTTAAGATTCAGCAGGACAAATGTGGAAGTTTTCAGCAGGATACTTGACTAGGGGACCTCCCAAGGTCCCTTCCAATCTAATTTATTGCATTATTCTAMTAGTGCCCATTATGAGTTAGAAGAGATTTTTGCCATCAGTGACTGAGCTTTTTTACAGCTTTTCCACTGCTTACCACTCTCATCTGAATGATTTTTCTCTATATATCAGTCATGATATTCCTTGCTACAGCTTGTCATGGTTGGCTCCTGTGCTTTGACTGTGTATCTTTGAGAAGAGTGTGTATTCTCAACAAATTCCCTTCTGGACSAAATTTAAATCCTTCCAGCCTTCACTTTTCCAGATTGAAAAACTCACCTCTCTCCTCTCTCTMTATTTCACATACTTCAACTCCCAAGCTGTCTTTGTGCCTCTTGTCATTTCCTCCTTGCTGGCATCCCTCTTGTGAGGGCTCAAGCTTTATATCCATTCACCCTTGGGTGAGAAGAGGCTTTTCACTCTCCCTTACTCCAGGCACCTTGATGGACAACAACTGCACCCCATTTGGACCTTTCCTTTTCCCAGAGACATCACACTCTTAAATTCCTCCTATATAACAGAATTCTTAAAACCCCGTCACCTTGGCAACATTTCCTTCCACCTGGTTCACTTTGAATTCCTTACCTTGAACAGGAGTAAATGGATATAAACTGGTCCATGTGCCTAGTGGACTCCAGCCTCTCATTCTGCTTCCTCTCCACTTCAGCATCATTCATGCAATACATCTTTTATCTTATGAGATCTGGCAAGTGTACAGCCCCTCTTCTGGTTCTGAGGGCTGAGCTCAGGTAGCTGCATCACATAYTCTAGACAACATTTTGTGAGACATTGCTGAGGCCGCTAAATCTTCTTTAGCCTCACTGGAAATGGCACTCATGGCAAATTCTAGGATCTGAATTTCATGGGCAGTAGCACCTTGGACAGGTTTTGTGGGACCCAGCCTTGGTCATCTGAAAAATGCCATCACCTTACGCTGGGAGAGAGAAGCAAGCACCTCTAGGACCCCCTCTCCTCCTTTTGTAGGGCAGGAGAAAAGCCCAGGCAAGGGGCTCTGGGAAGCAGCTCCCCATTACACAGCTGCAGCTGCTGACATGAAGGAACCTCCCCCTTCACAGCTGATTAAATCATTCAAGTCTTTCCTCCTCTCTTGCTCCCACTGGAGAAGCATCCTCCAAACATTACCACAGAAATGCTTGTCATTTGTCATTCTGGGGGCTTTTGCTTTCTTTGTTTTTTTTTTTTTTTTTTAATTTTCCCAATTTCTATCACAAGTTCTTCAGCTTATTTCTACCAGGCATCATCCTCCTATTTCACACACCGGGCTCCCCAGTGTTGCATACGTAGAACACCCATCAGCACCAGCCTTGTGGCAGGGTCAGGGGGAAGGGGCACCACATCACTCACGGCATGACAGTCCCATCTTGGAGAAACAACTTCTACGTGTCACCAGCCAGCAAGCTCTTCTTCCATCGCCAACTATTGTTGCTTACATCTTTTGTAAGAAAAAAAAAAAAAGAGCAGGTAACTGATTAGTCTTACACCATCCCCTCATCTCAGCAATTTTAATTAATTTATGATAATTAATGTATAATACCTTATTAAATGCTTCACAGGAATCCCAGCAATCTAGCTCTACTCCATCTCTTTTGCATAGGAAGCAAAACTCTGCCAAGCTATAATGCTCCTCAGTTCTTTCTTGAAGACATGAAAGGAATTATGAAAATGTGCAACTTCAATATCCTAAGAAAGATTAATAAATTTTAATATAGACACAACTTGGTGGACTCCTCGAGTCAGACCTTCTATCTCTTAACAGCAAATTCTCTTTTTCTTTTCTCTCTCTCTTATTATTTTGATACTTTTCATAAGCTTTGACTAGATAAAATAACCATTTAGGAATTTCTTGGAAGATAATTTCACAGGACTAAGATTAATGATTGCAAGGGCCAGTCATAAAGGCAGATTAAAAAAAAAAAAAAGAGGAAAAAAATCTTTCCCACACCTAATTCAAAAAGGTCTATTTTAGAATATTATATTTGAACTTGCCAATTCATTATGCATCAGTAAAGATYTTTTTGGCCTCACATTTTCTTTATTTCTTTCTTTCTACAGCTAAATCAGTGGGGATAAATATCTAAAGACAAAATTATCTGACATCAAACAAATATTGACATGACTTTTAAGGTCAGTTGCTGCAAGGCCAGGATTTAAAAACAAATTAAATTTGATGCATACTGTCTTAAAGGTCAGTGAGAAAGGTATATGCTGCATCCATTTTATAAGGCTGCCCCAGGGAATCAKATATATTGAGCATTGTGAGGGACACTGCAATAATGAAGACAATTATGGTAATCAGTAAGTAGGAAATAGGGTTTAATTGGATCAGTGCAAGCATGTTATTTAGACAAAAAGAAATCGTGGTGTATTAAATTGAAAGTAAATTGCAACAACTGAAGTCAATAGTCACTTCAAGCTCATCTTGAACGTCTGCTGTATCTTTAAAGGAGCTATTACAAGGAAAATGCTGTGAAATGTGTGGTTTCCATCCAGCCGTAGTCCAGTGTCACAGCACACAAGGAAGGTCCCGTCTCTCCCAAAACGTGGCCCTCTGGATACTTCATGTCCTAATCTTACTCTCTAATCTCAGCCGAATGGGCCCTTGCTAGAAAGGAAGAAGGGCTGAGAGATGAGGAGATAAAGGGCTGCCAAGGTCAGYTGTGAGGATGTGGCAGGGCCGGGATGAGCTGAGGCCCTGTGTGACACGCAGCTCCGTGTGGGGAGCAGCGCTGCCCCTCATGCCTTGGCCAGCAGCCYCACAACGTTGGTTTTTTCGTTTTGCTAAATTATTCCAGTTTAAAATGTCTGAGAAACGACTGCCTTGAAATGCACGTCTGATCACCAGTCAATATGTAACACACAAAGACCGATGGTTCTTGTAGCTGAAGTGGAAATGAGCCAGAAAGCTCCAAGGTCTTGTGTGACGGTAAAAGATCACGCTTTCCCCTGGGGTTGTTCATATCGTTCATACTAGCCATGTGCCACGGCAGCGGCTGGCAATAACTACAGCCCCAGCCCACACGCCCGGGAACCGCCGCGCAGGCCCCGCCCCAACGGCCCTAACGGCCGCCCYRRCGGCCGCCCCGGAACCTGCCGCCGCGGCGGGCGCGCGCGGGGCCGGGCGCCGCTTCCGCCTTCCGCGCGGCCGCTGGAGGCAGGTGGGCGCGCGCGGCGGCGGCGGGCGGCGAGCGCGAGCGCGCGCGCGGGGGCAGCGGCCCCGGCCCCGGCCCGGGCCTGGCGCTGCGTTGCGGGGCCGGGCAGCGGGCTGCGCCTCGGGCCTCGACAAAACGCGGAGGCTGCCGCGGCGCCGGGCGCTCGCGCGGCGCCTCCCGGCTGCAGGTGTGGGCGAAGCAGCGCCCTGTGCGTGTGTCCGCGCCGCGGGGACGCGTCGCTTTGGGTCRCAGCCGGGGTCCTGCAGGAGAGAAGGGCTCCGAGCAGGAACCGTACGTGTCTCGTTCTGCGCTCGGCAGCAGCGTCGCGATGCCCGCACACGTTGCGGGGTCGTTGCTCTGTGGCTCCCAGCTGCTGTAACGCGGGCAGGCGGGAACACCGCACACGTACTGAAAACCCTGCTGCGGGCCTGATAACGGCTGCACTGCAGGATCCGGGTTTGAGAGGGAGTGAGGGTCAATAAAGTTTTACTGTCATCATTTCTGCGCTCATACCACTGTCCAGACCTGTTCAGGAAATCAGAAAACATCCCATTCCCTGCGGATTTGCCATTCGGGGCAAAGACAACAGACATCAGAAGTGGAACATCACAGGGAAAGAGGGACAGAATATGGGTCTGATGGGTGCTGTCGTTTGTTGCATATTTGAATGCCTGTAGTGGTTGGACAGCTTTGTTAAAAGAGCCTAACACTACATTTCTGTTTTGTTGCTCAGTGCAGCTTTCTAAAAACTGCCACTTTAGACATTTCTCATAATTTGTGTCCTCAGTAGTCACTGAGAGAGAATGGTTTTTGTCAAAACAGATTGCCATTTCAGCACCATGCCTTATGAAGTAATGCAAAGAAGTCAAGGTATAAATACTAGCCATTAGATTCTGTTGTTAAATCAGCATTGAAGCAGTTTGAAAATTAGTCTGCAGCCTCCTGTTGGGCTCCCAGAGTCAAAATGTCACACGCTAGAATAATGATAGTTGCCAGCAGGCCTCTAAGCAATACAATTTTGACTGCAAATGTGACACTAATGCAATTTAAACATGGTGTGAAATGCTACAGGGCKAACAAACTGATTTATGTGCGCTATCAAAAACAAATTTTAATATTTGGTCAAGACGATATATTTCTGTGTTTGGGGAAGTTAGGATTGTGGGGTTTGTTTTATAAGAGCTTTAAAAAAATGATGGTGATTTTTCTTCCAAATTTATGACACTGCAGTTAGTATAYGTTGGTGCTGTTGTTCTGCAGAGATACCAGCATGCACACCCATGGAAATGCTTGGCATTAGGGAAGGGAATAAGGTGGCCTGTTGGAAGGTGGAGGCACCGGTGCTGCTGCTTACCACACACCCCAGGAACATCCCGAGTCCTGCTGGTATCAGGACAATTTCGCTTGGGCAAAGTTGCCCTTTCGCCCAGGCCCTTCCTTGCCAAGCCCCAAAGCTGAAGTGTTCCTCTGCGAGGGGCAGCATGGAGATTGAGGGACTGAGATGGCGGTCAGCTCTGCCCTTAGTGGCAGGGCATGAAATTACGTTCCTGGGGTTTTGGAAGGCAAAGGTGGAGCAAGGAGCACTTCTAAGTGTACTTGTGACTGGGAGCTGGGAATTGTGGATTAGCTGCAATTGCAATGTGGAGTGGGGCAATGTGCTACACACGCCAGGTTTGCAGTACATAAGGACTTTCTAAAATGCCTTTGTTGAAGACGGTCTGTAACATCAGACCACAGCTTTAGTCCTTCGTCTGACCATTTCATGAAGCCAGGGGAATACCTGTTTGCTGTAGCAGGGCACTGAGGGAAGAAGCTGAGCTCTTGTGAGCCCTGCCGCGTTCACTGCAGAGATGACAACAGAGCRCTGGGCTGATGGCCTGGCAGCCTCGCCACCAAACTGCATTACTTCTCCCCCAGAGCACTGAGACACACACGCTGAACCCGATGGATTAAATTAGTAAAACTCAGCTTGGGGAACAGTGGCCCTTCAAGAGCAGAGCGTGCTCTGTGCTTCACTGGTGCCAGCGATGAAGAGGCAGTGCTGGCATCCCCTCTGCCGGCAGAGCTCTGAAGTTGTGACAAGGGCATTTGTTTCCTAAGCCTTCCTGAGGTGTGGAATGTGCATTCTTGCAGTACCGCACGTCTCTGTTACCTGAGGAGTGCCTTTGCACTAACTGAATCAAGTTACTGCACAGCAGAGGAGCAAGGGGCCAAAGTGAGCTGAACGTTGTCCTAGGAAGTAGACAACAAGGCTAACTGGAAACAGAAGGCCCGTCACAAACAACCCTCCTAGCGTAACATTATTTTACAGGAAAACATTCCAGATATGGGAAAGCACAAACTGGAGGGCAGTGCAGTGTCAGAAAAGCAGATGAATGGAGTTGAAACATGTCAACAGGCAGGAACTCCAAATGCAGTTTTAGTGCTTGATGTATTGTGCGTTTCCCTGTGTTTACATATATGTTTTTGTGTGCATTCTTATGTACTTCTGTTTCCTTTCAGACAGTGCAAAATGCCTAAAAAGAAGACTGGTGCTCGAAAGAAGGCTGAGAATCGTCGTGAACGTGAGAAGCAGATAAGGGCTTCAAGAGCAAACATAGATTTAGCCAAACATCCTTGTAATGCCACAATGGTAAAGTAACCTAAAATATTTTATACTAAATGATTTTAAACGATGTAAAGCCCATGAAATGATACATTAGCTGTACTTTAAGGCCCTTAGAATGCTCTTCTTCCCGTCTTCTTCCTTTCTGTTAAAGGTTACATTAACATCAGAGGCATAATGCTTCAGTAAAAAGTTTGTTATCTAATCAGAGTTTAATTCAGAGACACTATGGAGTCTGTGTATTTTGTATGTTTTGCATGGAGTAATCATCAGTATTTTATTTCTCCTCTTTAGGAATGTGATAAGTGCCAAAGGTGAGTATTTTTTTTTACCCTTCTAAAGTCATTAGTGTAGTATTGATTGGTTTCAAGCACCTTATAGGTTACTTAATGCTCTATCTCGTGTTTTTTCCTCTTCCATGTGCCTAGGCGGCAGAAGAATAGAGCTTTCTGCTACTTTTGCAACTCAGTTCAGAAATTACCCATTTGTGCACAGTGTGGTAAGTGGAAATGATGAAGGAAAAACATGTTATGGGCACCCCCTTTGTGGTGTTCAATTTGCAGCCCTTGAACTCCCTCTAATGGCTGGAGTGGGTTCTCTCTTGCACCTGCTGGGAATCTCCTCCTTGGGAAGTGGCTCTTGCCTTACGGTGCAAACTAGTGCATATGCTGCTGACCCCAAAGGTTTCTGCTGGGTTTGTTTTCAGTGCTGTCTCCCTGCCTTCTAGGACTGAGAGCACTTAGCCTAGGAAATGGCCAGAGACAACCGTGCATGGGATTGCTCTGTCTGGCCKCAAAGTTAAAAAGGCTTTTAAGGCTTTTAAAACCAATCAACACTGCATTTCTGGGATGGTATTACTGATCACTTTAAAAATCAACAGTTCATTAAGCACCTTGCCTGGTTGTGTTATATAATGTGCTTTTCATGTCATTCACATGTGCTAAAGGGCTGATACTTTGAAGTAGTAGGACTGAGCTCTGAATCTGGCTGAAAAAGCCCTTTTAGTTTTTTTAAAAAAGGGCCAGCTTACAGGGAAGAGTAATAATCATTTCATACTCTGAGATGAGTATCGTCATTTTATTGCTTTGACACCTCCTTGCAGATCAGTTTATCATTACGCAATTTGGCTTTTCTGCCGCTTGACTCTCAGGGCTGCTGACATCTGCGGCTTCCATGGCCTTTGATGGGACCTGCAGCTGCTGAGTTTCTGTTAATAAGCAGTGGCAGCCTGTAAAGCTTGATCATTCATCAGTCTTCCTTATGTCATCATGCAGTGAACTGCTAAAACCACAGTGTCTAGTTGCCTGTACATTATGTATCTGAGCCTGACTCCAGCCTGTTGAATTCATCTTAATACGCAGCAGGTTTGGGGATGAAAAGCAGTCCTAACAACACACAAAATAAGTCAGGACAAAGGCTCAATATTTGAGAGCCCCCAGCACCAACAGCCTCTTTCTTCGAGGTGCTGAGGGCTGGCAGCAAGGCAGCCCCTTGCACTGCTCTAGACCCCACCAGCTCACCTTGCTTGCCTGGGAGCACCAGGGGCCTTCCTCACTCCTCCTGCCACTGCACACATCAAGCTGACACCAGATTCAGCTGCTACGGTGTACTGCTCTGGTTTAATTGCTTTTTTCAGAGTAGAGTTTGGTTTTGGCAGCTCAAGAATGGGTTTGCAGGGACCAACTCTTGCTGGTTCTTCCACCCAAGCAGTAACAAGGGGGTTTGTGTCAGGACAACTTAAGCTGTTGATATGACCCTASTGCAACAATCTGGGCTAGCTGAACAGATTATTTTGCTTATACAGCTGCATAYAGAGTAGAGATCTTTCTGGTAGAGCCACATCAGAAGCAAGAGGTAGGAGAAAATCATCACCCTAGGTGCTTACCTGGATCTGAAAGGCTTTGAAGTGCATTAGTGCATTCTATGGCTTTTTCTCACCCCAAGCACTGAAGATAATTTAGGCAAGAAAGTAAACCCTTACATAGGGTTTTTTTGTTGTTTGTTTTTTTTTAAAGAAGTATCCAGGTGGCTCTAAATAATTAAATCAAATTAAATCATTATGTGCATTTTTTTTAGAGTAGGCACAGCTGTATTTCTTCCAGAAGACCTCCGCCTTACAGCACATGATGGTTTTATATTGGGACTAGTGGCAGTAGTAAATACAGCTTTTCTGAATGTCATTGCTTGACTTTGACCTACATTATTTCGTACTGTGGTTTTATGTTTGAAATCTTGCCTCTGTGTGCAGTGTGCCTCAAAACATATAGTAAAATAACACATAGCCTCATCAGCATTTATGCAAGACATTCTGGCGAAAACAGACAATAGTTAACTTGATCTTTGATAATTAACTTGAATGGGTTGTTTGCATTATTTTTATCTTGGGYATACATTAAAAATATTTAGTCAAATCACTACTCTTATATAATTTGTTTGAATTATTTTCAAATTTAAGCAACCTTCTTCTGGTTGTCTTCTTACTTTTTAAACAGGAAAAACCAAATGCATGATGAAGTCTTCTGACTGTGTCATAAAACATGCTGGCGTGTACAGTACTGGACTAGCAATGGTGGTATGTATAGAGAGTTTTAGTATTTTTGCACTAAGATGTTTTCTTTGCAGATTTTTCTAAAGAAACAAAAACACCCAGGCCCCATAGAATAATGATTGCATGCATCAGGCCCGGGTTTTCCTCTATTCATACCATTACAAACTGGAACAGCACTGGAGCTTTCATGTCCTGCACCTAATTCCTGGTCTCCATTAAAATAYAGAATCATCCCATAGAACACAGTAGACTTGCTTTTCTCGCTGACCTTTCAGCATTGCCAGGAACAATCTGTTCCATGGTACTGGATAAGAATTTTATTTAAAACTAAATCACTTGGGCAGAGAGGGTGGTTGTTTCTGGCCTTTGGTTTTTTGACTCTTAAAAGGACAAGCTGGTTATTCAGCGCTGTTGAGCAACGTATGGAATGTCATAGCCTCTGCATTAAATGCTCCATGGATTAAACTTCCATCCACTTGGAAGTCAACACTTCTCAGTAACACAGCTGGCCCTTCCTGTCCCAAGTTCCTGAAATCCCTCCATGCCTTTAGCTGCAACACTGTTTTAATTAGCAGTTAATTTAGGTGTACCATTGTTATGCCATTTTCATGTGTATACACACAGGCACACAATAGTTTCTTACATATGGGATGAGGGAGTTTCTTACATATGGGATTCTTAAATGCTACCATTAGTACAATTGGTATGTACCTCTTACAGTTTAAGAATAAAACATGCAGATTATTTCTGCTGTAAGAATCTAGAGGTATTTGTTGTTTTTGTTTTTAACGTAATTTCATTTTTGCCAGTTAATTGTTGTCACTTACTAATCTCGTAGGTTTCAACTACAGGACACTAATTTCATGCCTATGATTTTAAATATGAAATGTAAAAACAACCAAAAAACAGGAAAAGGAGGAAAGTTCCTTTTGATTACATTTTATCCTGCACAAGGGAATACCAAAAAGAAAAGCTGAAGTGAGCCCTGAAGCAGCTTGGTTAGAATATAGATGTGTTTCATTCTCTCTTGCTCACCTGGAGTGAACCTACTGAGAGAATGAATACTTGAATACACTCAGGCTTATGGAAGACAACTGTCTCTATAGGTGTTGCAGAAGTTCTGAAATCTTTTCTTCTGTAATTGCAGGGTGCCATTTGTGATTTCTGTGAAGCCTGGGTGTGCCATGGGAGGAAGTGTCTCAGCACACATGCGTGTATCTGCCCCCTTACAGATGCAGAGTGCATTGAGTGTGAAAGAAGTGTCTGGGATCATGGTAGGTAGCTCTCATTTGACAAAAAATCTGAACTGTACTTGCCACCTCCCACCCCYATTTATCATATCTATGTCCTTAAYATCTTTCCTTTTCACTATACATTGTGTCAGGTTAGATGTTTTCCCCTATTTTGAAAATAGGCCCTATGCAAGGGGGAAAGTGAATGATGTGCCCGACAGCACCCTCTGCTCAGCTCTGGGATGTTTCTATCACTTAGAATATTAACTGTCCTGTCATCTGAGCACTTCACATAATTAAGCACCACATCAGGGAGCCAACATAATTTTCCACCATTCTCACTCCTTTCATCTGCACTACTATGGGTACTCAGATTCCTATTTGCTTGGCCAATGATACTGATCTCTATTTATGGAATTTCCTTAAAATATTTATTTCGGTGTACATCAGAGGTTAGAGGCTGGGAGGGGGGAAAGTGGTGGATGAGAGGATCTGATCCAGTTAAAAGATGCTCAGTGCTATACTTCAATTAAAAATGAATACAACTACCAGAAATGATACTTGCTTCAGACTTATGCCATCTTGGATTGCTAGGATATGTGGTATTTTTCAATGTAATAAGGGTGTCTAATTTAGGATTTTCTGTTGAAACATTTTGTAGCAGAAATAGTCTTTCGTTAAAGCTATGCAGAACTGCCCAAATTGTCTGTGGAGTAGAATTTGATGCCTTTGCCTGTTCCTGATTATTTTGCCTTGATAAATCTTGTAGGAGGCAGAATATTTGCCTGTTCTTTTTGCCACAATTTCCTCTGTGAAGATGATCAGTTTGAACATCAAGCCAGCTGCCAAGTTTTGGAAGCAGAGACATTTAAATGTAAGTTAGCCCCTCACAGTCCCTTTCTCCAGAGGGAAGCAGAGTCACATTTCCTCCTCTGTGCCCCAGGATGCTCTACAGTTCCCTCTCCAAACAGGCTGCTTTTACCATTGCTGGAGGAAAGGGCCTCCACTTGTCCCTGCTTGCCCAACACGCTGCTTGCTAGCACAGAGCTCGCGTCCCCGGCTGTCCTCTGTGCGGGATTGGACGTGCAGTCCTTCCCTGCCGAGTGTACAGAGCTCCCGTGGGAAGGAATCCAACGCTCTCCAAAGCAGCGTTGCTGGCAGTGGCCAGGACCAAAGCTAAGCAGCTGTTGCTGCCTTTTAGATTCACTAAAACTCTGCAGGCAGGMTGCAACTTTTCTGCTCTTCTCACCTCTGATAAGCTATTTCTGGATGCTCTTCCTCTTGGAAAACAGCTGCCTTTAGGGCTATGCCCGACTTTAGGGCTAAGCTTTCCCAGCTTGTTCTGGATGTAGAGGTGATGATGACCTGTACGTCAATAACTGCTGTCGATTTTGCACAAGCAGAGAGTCCCGAAGAAGGCCCTGACTCCTGAGGCAGGAACCAGCTGGTTTCCTAAGAAGACAKGCAGACGAGGTCTGCAAGGAAGTGACAGGAAGAGCACTTGTCCAATGCATAATCTCAGGGCGAGTTTTTTTTCTACTGATTTCAATGGATCACAGGCACTTACCAACTCAGTACATGTATCAAGCGGCAGTGCAAGCCACTGTTACTGAGCAAAGAGCAGTTAGCTCAAGGCTATGTCCTGTTCCACTTCAACTTTTAAGTGGACAAAAAATCTGAAACTGATACTTTTAAGACAGCAGAATTAGCCTGACTTGGCTTGTCCACTACCTATCTGTAGTTGAAAAAACTGCTGAAGAGAAATTTAAAAACAGCCTCCAGGAATAGGGAGTTTTAAAATAATGTATGGCAGAAATATTTCCTCCACATCCTTGGTTAATTAACATTTGGTTTATCTTAGGAGACAAGAGTTTCTCCCTTCTAAAACTTGTATAAATTCTATTATAACATTTTTAATCTTCATAGAAATTTGAGGTACTCTGTCATGTKTAAGACTATTTTATTCAGAACTGACTAATCTCTTGTCTTAATTGATTTCTCCCAATGCAGAACACTTGTGATCTTAATGTTATAATCTGTATCTTCAGATATCTCTCATCTTGGTTTTTCTCTCTCATTCTTTTTTTTTTTTCTGAGCCAACTGTTTTCTAAGCCTTGATTAGCTTCCCTTGATGTATTCTGCCAGAATGTCTTCATGTATAGCAATATTGAAGCAGCAACAGCTGTTCCACAGGAATGTTTTCTTCCCCTGATTGTTGGAAGCTTTTAATTCCCAGATGTGATGTCATATCCCGAATGAAGAAATTGCTTTCTGAGGGTTTTCACTACGTTCAACTTTTTTGGCTAARTGCAATCCTGGTAGAGGGTTTCTGTCAGCATGCGATAATGAGATTATAAAACCAGCACCATTATATAACACCGAGTTTAAATATGGTCAGAAGTTGTAGCCTACATCTAATTATAGCTGTGAAAAAGAGTTCTGTTACATTCCACCACTGAGAGAAGTTTTTAAAGCGCAAATTACTCCAGAAACATGCAAATATGCAATTAGCATTTCCAGTTCTATCTTTAAACATCTGACAGCTCCCTAGCTCCCATGTGGAGAACCCATGATATTTATTACTGCAGATCAAAAAGCTTGATTACCAGAGGGCAGGGCAAAGTGGAGAGGGTGAGAGCTTTGGAAAAGACTCACGACAGAATTACTGCCTTTCAAGGAGTCACTATCCACTCAGCTTCCTATCGCTATAAATTCCTGTGTGGTTGTTTTTTGTACTCCCTCTAGTGGAGAAAAGACATCAATTTGAAGCTGGATTTTAAGAGAGCACAGATTCTACTCTTCACAACTTACGTGCCACCCATAACTCTTCAATAGAGTTGAATAGAATTTCATATAAAGTTTTGTGCCATAAAGTACATTTTCTGAGGATGTGACAGAATATACAGAACAAAACTTCTCTGGGTTTGGCATTTGGAATTTCTGAGTGTTCTTGGAGTCCCTTTGAATGGGATGATAAATATACTGAAGACTGCCATGACTGCAAATTGTTTCCTCCTTTGGCATTGCTAGGGAAGCAGAAAGAGAGGAAGCCTCTTTATACCAAACTATTTTCCTAACTTATACTTTGTATGAAGTTAAATTATTGTCACGAGGCTTAGACTTTAAAAATCTAATAAAATTTAAGCAAACAATGATAAACTAACATTTCCAAAGTGCATGCCTCAAAAGTAATTCTGAAGTAAATACCTCAAAATACATTATATACTTCTGTAAGATGTGAAACATCACAACTGTACAGTTTTCAAATACTGAACTTTATACATGAATTTTCTCCGACAGGTGTTTCCTGTAACAGGCTGGGGCAGCATTCATGCCTGCGTTGTAAGGTAAAAAGCAAAGACAGTTGCAAGTAGTTGTAATTTTGGCCTTCTCTTTAGCAGCCCTGGTACCCAGCCTTGTCATGTCCATGTTATTCAGGAAATTTATACTTTCTGTCTTCGTTTCTGAAGCCTGTGGGCAGACTTACAGGAGATGAAAGGGCTGCTGTTTGTTTTTCCAGTGTTATGCATCCTCATTCAAGGTGAAGTGATCTTGACTTCGTTCAGCCTTCACATTAAATTGGGGCTGTACCATGTTTTGACCCCTTCAAAAAAAAAAAAATCCCTGCGTTTTGGACAGAATCCAAGGCTTCAGAATGTTTTCTGATCCAATGTAATTCAGAATTGAGACATTTTAATAAGTCAAAAACAAAAAAGCAAGTGATCATCTCACTAGAAAACACTGCAGTTTAGATGCAAGAAGTCTTCTCCCCACTTGACCCATTTTCACATATGCACAGACATATGTGTTTTTTTGTGTTAAAATTTTGATAATATTCAGAAATTTTGTATGAAATCATGTCTACCTGCCTCACCACCAGCATCCTTCACATTACTCCAGGCACTATTCACAGCCTGCTGTTATTCGTCTTCCTTCATTACCCACTTTTTAAATCTTCCATTTCTTCAGTTTCCACGACATTGATTTTATACTCCAAATTGCCCCTTTCTCCAGCTGCCCTTGGTGGTACTTTGGTGCTTTTTCAGCACATGAAATCTCCAGTTCTTACCTTCAGGTCAGTGCCTAATTATGCTCTGGCCTACATCTCTGATTGCTCTTGAGGCTTATCAGTGTAAACCAAAATTTCCCAGGCCCCTTGTGGCCAGCAATGAAACCCAGTGCTTGAATATGTTATTTCCTCTACCAGTTTATCAGCACCCTTGTGCAGCCTCTTCCCCAGGTAGCCATGAARCCATAGTCAACACAGAAGCAGTTGCTCTGTGCATAACAGAGACTCCAGTCCCCCTGCAGTTAGTGCTCATTAATTTTAATATCAACCAGAAAATCCTACTGCTGTTTTTTTTTCTAGCTTCTTGAAGAGTATTCTGCTGCGATGGAAATGTTTGGCCTTTTCATTCTCTTCTCACCCCACAGGCTTGCTTTTGTGATGATCACGTGCGAAGTAAGGTTTTTAAGCAGGAAAAGGGAAAAGAGCCTCCCTGCCCTAAATGTGGACATGAAACTCAGCAGACAAAGGATCTSAGCATGTCAAGTAAGACTGCTTCTCTGGCTAAAAAGCTAATTTCATAGGAGTGGCATCAAGCTGGCACCACTCATAGCTGCTTTGCTGCATGGGAATATTGAGTAAATTACTAATTTATTATTATTTATTCTTTCAATTGTTTTGCAAAGCTTTGCTGCATTTATTTGGGGAGAGTTTTTGTACTTCTAGAATTGAGTCTTTCTTAATCATTATCCGATGCTGACAAAGAAATTTTTGTTTAGGTTCAGATTTTAGTTACTAAGGAACTTCATGCAGTCACTATTTAAGCCTCTTTTTCAGTTGACAAGCAGCAGGCTAATGAATCTAGAAGTGGCATTTGACGATATCCGTACAATCCACCTATTAATCTCCCTTTAATAAGCTGGAATATATATGCTATATCTGCATAGCATGTCCAGTTATAGGGTTTTTTTGGGCAGAATAACAAAGGTATATTCTTAAGCAAAAAAGTCATGCTCAGGCAGCAGTTGTTTATACAAACATGGCTGTGTGGCGAGAGGGAAGGCAGCGGAAAGGTTCCAAGTCTGGAAACGTTGGGTTCAGGAGGARTCTGGCATTAGGTGGTATTGGTGGAAGGGCATGGCGATGTGAGATGCTGTGTGGAGCGAATTCAGCGCTCTTCCTCTCTCTGCAGCGCGCTCGCTCAAGTTTGGCCGCCAGACCGGCAGCGAAGAGGCAGATGGAGCCTCTGGTTAYGATGCCTACTGGAAGAGCCTCTCCACCAGCAAGGCTGGAGAGGCAGGAGACCGTGAGGATGAATACGAGGAGTATGAAGCAGAGGACGATGACGATGACAACGATGAAGGAGGGAAAGATTCTGATACAGAGACAACAGATGTATTCAGCAGTTTAAGTTTAGGAAGGACCTATGCTAGTGGGTATGCACATTATGAGGAACCTGAAGATTAAGCTTAATCTTCTGGGAAGCTAAAACATTTGGAAGGAGCTGAGTATATGCGTCATTTATGACTTGTGTATGTGCCAGTAGATTAGCTCTATTGGGTACCTGCAAATCAAGTTTGAGAATAGAGAGTTTGGGACTCGTGTAGTAATTCCAGGTGAGATGTACTGGGTACGAACAGAGTTGGAGGGTTAAAACCCAGAAATGGCTTTGTTCCCCTAAGCAACTCAAGTTTTGTTGTCCCCGAGTTACTGAGTATAATAGGTCAAACCTTCTTACCCTCCCCTTTCAGATCCCTCCCACAGTAATATAGGAGGGCAGGACAATTTGTTTCATTTGCTCATCAGAAATTAAGTTATTTTTATGGTAATTTTGTTAACTGAACTTCTAAAACTAATGTAGTGGTGGGTTGCTGACTTTATTTTTGTTGGTCTTCACAATAAATATCAACTGCATTCTCTCTTGAATTTTTGTAAATATTGGTTTCTCCTTAATAACTGGAAAGCACATTGTCATACACAATGTGAAAGTCTTCATTAGAATAGCTTCTTTGTTTATATAGATGAGGCAGATCAATATAGTTTTCCATGTACTTGAACATGACATTTCCAGCATCATTTTTTAGTATTACATATTAATTACTGGGGCTATATACACATATACCAGTGCACCCTTGGCACATCAGTGTTATTATTGCAATAACAATTGCAACTTTAATACTGCAACAATTCCAATGTTAATTTTGCAACAGTATTGCAATTAATTATCCTTTTGCCACTGAATTCTATCAGTTTCTCTTCATAGCCAAAAAGCAAAGTGGTCTCTTCTGTGCCTAGCCTTCAGCTCCTCTCCTTACACATAATACCAGGAAACCAAAAATTCTGCAAGAAACCAGCCCTATGTGTGAACATGCAAGAAGAGGAACCAAAGGTGGGCTGGGTTCAAACATCACCCTGCACAAACACATGGGTACATGACAAGTTACAAGCAGGCGTAGGCTGACAGAATGGCATTTCCAGAAGTACTTGATACTGATTTCCAAAATCAACATCTATTAATTACTAATCCACAAATAGAGTTGGTAGCATTTAGCTCTCTCCTGCAGGGAAATATTGAGATGGTGACATTAGGAGCTGACAGAGCTGGATATCATGACAGCCACCTCGAGCATTACTCGAGCTTAGCGGACACGAGAACACAGACTTTCCAAATGCCATGCTTAAGTTCAAGAATGTTATTTCTTATTTCTATCTGCCAGAAATATCTGAACTGGTTACAGAATGGTCTGCTTCTGCGAGGCTCTCGCTATTGTTTCTTATCAGCTAAAGGTTGTATGTTGGCAGAGCATATCCTCTTSAGAATAGCTTTTAATGATGCTACGATTGCCAAATGAATATATCCTAACAAAACAAGACTGGTACTTCCTTCCTAAATGCCTCTCCTACCAAGTGAATAAGAGACATATGACCCGGAAGGCATCCAAGGTAGAAGCAAAGTGAAACAGAATGCAACTTGGTTATGACTGCTSCAAGCAGGGAGACGTAAGGGAGAGGGGAACAGCCTCAACAGCGCCCGCCTTCAAAGCCGGCAAGGAAGGTGGTTCCTGCAACAACTGAAAGCCACAGTCCCTTCCAAGAAGGAAGCCAACACTACGGCCGCCTAGTTTAACCAGCCAGTGAAGTCTGACCCACCTTRATTTGTGTGTACCTGCTGGGTGCTTGATTAACCTCTGCCTCTCCACACTTCAAGCGAGGGAAGGGGGGTGCCAGCCTCCGTGACACTGATTGCTTATTTGTGAAACTGGCACCTGTGACTTACTCTGTGCTCAGCTTCGTGCAGCCCACAAACTATTATAGCTGAGTCAATCAGTGCTCAATTACAGAAACATTGACAGTTTATCCTGTTTTCAAATACTAAACAATTACACATTACTACACAGTCATGGGTTTGAAGAAAGGATATGCATTTTTGTGGTTGTACTTTAARTTATAGTTGTTTTTGCATCATTTGCTAATATTACTTTATTACTTCACAGTACAAAATTCCCTTTAAGGCTCTTGGCTCTGGAATCTGATCTTTTCCATATGAGATCGGCTGCTGTCACTGGCTGTGCCAAGGGCTGCTGACATAACAGCATTAATCATCATAATCAGAGTAAGGAATTATTCATTTTCTCATTGAAATGTCCTTGTGCTGATGATTTACTTGCTCCAGATCCAATCCTCTAGAGGTAATGCAGGTTCCTATCAAGCTGTGGTAGCAGAGGGCCACAGCACTGGGAAGTGCTGCCTAAAACAGATGCATAGGATACCTGCTTAATTTAACAAGGTCACTACTCAATGGACAGAGGCTTTTATTCGCTTTTTCTTTGTTCACACCACCAAAAATGCTAACACCAACTGAAAAGAGGGCTAGGGAATTAGAGCTGCAGGTGACTGGTCTTCAAGGGGTCACAGCAACCCAGTATAAGCTGCTTTGAGGTAATCTSCTGCCCTCAAACTAGCATAAATCAACATGAATGCAGTATTTTATTAACAGGGCTTGCAAATTTGCAACAGGACAGGCAGGGTGTGCTGAAGTCTGCACTCCGTCATCCTTGCCTGGTTATTCAGTAAAGTCTAAAGTGTGGCACTCGGGGTTGCTCTCATCAAATGTGCAGCATTTTATTTGTCCTAGGGTAAAATGCAGGAAAAGGAGGAAGAGGAGAATGACACATTCCCCTGCTTGTTCTGATAAAGGCCTGGGACTTGCCAGCCTACGCACCTCTGGCTTTMTTGATCCCTATTCCTCTGCCTTTAACTGCATGGGAGGGACATCAGCAGGGCACTGACGGATCCATACGCCATCCATACACGTAAAGTCAGCGCTCCATTTACTGACTCCTGCATTCTGTTTGCTGCTTTGTTCTGCTGTGGCTAAATCTGACGGTTAGGACAGAATGGCTGTGCTGGGTTATGTCCTACAACTTGCACAAGTTCAAGCCAGTCAGACACCACCGCAAGGCACTGAGCTCCTCCAGGTGCCTGCTGAGCTGCTTCCATCAGAGAAGATTCTGAAGGACTCAAGTCTAGAACTTAGCGCACACACACGGGCATAACTGCAGGTTTTTAAGACTACAGTAGCACAGAGTGAGCTACCTTGAAGACCAAGGGTCAGAGAAACTACGATTTTACAGTAAGCTGTGTTTACTTTGGCTTTTCCTTTGCTAATCCTGACTGCATCTACTGTAAATTCCAAGCYGAGGTAAAAAGGAGGTTCTTAGCATGTAATCAGCAATAGCTGAGAAGGGCAAATAGTACATCATAAAGRTAAAATCCTCAAAATTTTATACTGGGTCTGGTTTTTCCCCATCTTTGTTCACAGCTATTTAGACAAAGCCTAAATGGGATTTGAATGAACACCTCAAAAATATTTATCATGCTCGTGGACTGTTCCAAGACAGCTCTCACTGCCTCTGTAAGCTCCTTAAGATTTCAGATAAGATTGTTATCACGGTGACATCACCTGCTCATGATGAATTCATGAGGTGCTTATGTGGATTTAATGCATTTCCATTTGTATTCCAGTGTGATTAAGCACCAGTGACTGGGAGTCAATTGATAAATCCTATTGCAGGGTTGCTGTTTTTATTCCCAGCAAATTAACGCTAGGATCATCGTAAAGTACTGAAGGGAGTTTCAATTGCCAGTTCATCAGATAGTAGCATTTGTGTCACAGAGAATCCGGGATAAACTTCAGAAGTTCTTAGAATTGCATTTGCTCAGGCAGGATGTATATTAGCATGTGTTACAACACATTATATACATCTATCTGGGTCCTAATCCTGTCTCCGGGGGAACCAATGGCAAAGCTCCCATTTATCCAAGTGGGAGCAATTTTGAAGTCTTTACTATCTGCAGTTCATCTTAAATCGTCAAGAGACATATAGTACAAAACTCAAGGATAAACTTAAATGAGGAAGCTTAACATGTGCTTAATGTGCTATCACTACCATAAAAAAGAAAAAAAAAAAGAAAGAAAAAAAAAGAGCTACAAATTTCAGCAGTTGCGGTACAAAGAGTTTTCAAGACTGGAAGAGAAAGCTGTGTGAAACACAAAGAGATAAGGTTCTGCAAAGCGTTTTAAACAAGTTTAATTATTATTCTCTTGAAAGTCTACATGTAGCCCAAAACTACTCGCTAAAAGCTCAAACAATCAGGACACAGACACATTTTTATCCTGGCTGGTCCATAAATAGAACACACAGTAAGTGAGAGAAAGCAGCGATGCAGCGGGCAAGAGCCTCCTGCAGCCCCTCAACAAGGATGCTGCAACTAATGGCCCTTCCTCGTTAAAATCAAGCACAGTGCAATTAACTACCATACATCTGCAATCAGAAGCAGGGCACAATTTTACCTTTTACCTTCCGTAGCCAGACTAAACAGAAAATAATTCAGGAGAACTGCACGGACATAACCCCATGGTAGATCCAGTGGYTTCCCCTGGTTGAGCAAGCAACAGGCTCACAAGGCAGCGGGAGGGCACCTCTTCCCTCCCAGATTTTAGCCCCTCAGATTTAAATTATCAAGAGACACACAGTTTTGCTGCTGCTTTACAACCACCTCATTTCTGCGCAGCAACCAGAACGGAAGAAGAATCAACTGGAAAGCATGAGAAAGCATTTTGTAACTATCTCTGCTCCTGCTCTGCTCTAACGCTGAGGCACACCAAGACATTTGCTGCGTTATTTTAAAGCCTCGTTTCGAAGCTATACAGTGATTCTTTCACAGTGCTCCCCAAGCATCACAATAAATGAAAATTTCACTTGGTTCTCGTCTCAAACAAGTACTAAGTGCCTACAGGGCCTAAGTAATACTTCAACTTCATCTTGATGTTACATGACATCTACTGTAGGCTTGCAGATTGATTTTCACATTACAAGACCACTGAGTATATTTGATTTTAATTTTTTATTAGAGCATTAGAATGTCAACAAACACCCACGATTTCTTTAGCAGGTTATGTGAGTATTTTACTGCTAGAGTTACCAGCTGCTCTTCCTGCTATTTTATTTTTGGTGTAGAAAAAGAGGTCAATTCTTGTGAAAGCAAATAACTTAGTTGTTAAGCACTTAACCCTTGGGCTGCCTGCTGTATGATGCAAGTTCAGTAAGTCTACACAGAACTCCTTCTCAAAGCCTTTTTTTTTTCCCCTTATTGATAAATATGCTGAGTATGGATTTAAGAGAGAAAAAGAAACAACAACAACAACAAAGATAAATAAAGATGCTACAGTATCTACAGCTTAAAAAAAACTCCAAAAATGTACTGAGCACTTTGGAGCCAAGAGATGGAGACACAAAACCACACACTCCCAAGTAGCCATTTTTGAAGCACTTTTCCCTCAACTTTTACTCTAACTTATAGTCAAAGCATTAAGAATAATGTAGAAGCTCGACAATAAACGGCAT